GAGGCTTTTGTTTGGACATGTCTGTGTGTGTGCACAATGACTCTCCCTCCGAAGCCCAGCCCTCGCCTCGCCCCTCCCCAATCACAGAATCCTGATTATTTTGACTGTTCTCTCTGGCTTGCCCTCTCTGCTCACCCTCACTCCTCCCATTAGAACCAGCCCTCCACCTGTGCTACCTTCCTGTCATTCCTGCATGTTCATTATTCTAGGGGGTTGCACCGTGGACGGCCACACATGCATATTCAGTGTTTTAATCAGATTGACCCCTTGCTCACCCTCTTTTCCCATTTCCCCAGCCCCTTATTATTCAACAGCTACTCACAGCTGCTGGACAAATCCAATTGTGTGGCAAATGTTTAGTACACGTTACGGTGGCTCGTGCATTGCCCTAGAATTTGGGACGTGCAAGTAAACACGCCCCTGCAGTGATTTCAAAGCTGTGGCCAGCCACTTCCTCCTCCAGCTGGCACCGGCCAGGCTTCCCAGCTCAGGCAGGGCAGGAAATGGCTCCGAAGGGAGCCGGTGTGAGCCACAGAGAGGGAGCCTCACCCGCGTAAGTGCAGGGCTGACACAGAACTGCGGGTCTCACCAGCATCAGTGCAGGGCTCTACACACGGCTCTGCCCTGGAGACGTGTTCCTCCTCTCACCAGATCCTAGAGCTCACGATTTTGCTGCATTGTGCACTTGAAAACAGTCAACACGGTAGACTTCGAGTCATGTGCTTTTTAAGCTCACCATTAAGAAAAATTGGGACAAGTCCTGTTTTGCTGGGGCTTGCTTAGACAGGAAGACACTGATCTGTGCAGCAGGCACACTGGGAGATGTGAGAAGCGTCTCAAGTTGCTCCCACTAGAAGACAAGGAGGGCAGAAAGTTATCTGCAGAGAGAAAGAACAATTTAAATTATTTATAATACTTCCAAGACTTCTCTCAAGTCAAGTGGACTTTAACTATCATCTACTTACTTAAATAAAACAAAAATCTGCTACTACTATCAGTGCTACTAGTTATCTATACGATGGATTTAATAATAGAACTTTTACTGGCTTGGGAAATTAACAGGCCTTTGTGACTTTTATACCTCTGAAAAAACAATCTGCAAACCAACGCAGGAATGCATATCCCAGGGAGCCTCCCAAACTTGGAAGTTAGGTGGGATTTTTTTTTTCTAACTAACTAGTTATCTAGTTGTGCAAACCAAACTCATTGATATTCAAATAGCCCCTAGAAGATTCATGCTGTGAATTCGTGTGTGAATATGGCACACAAATAATTAGGAGAGAACTTCAAACATAGGAACCAGCCTGCGATTTCTCCCTAATGATGGCTGTTGAAGTAACGAAGCCGTCACCACAGAACACGCTCTCAGCCTCTGTACCAGGAGCGATTGGAGATAAATCTGTGCCTGTCCCGTGGTTGCCAGTTTGGGCTCAACCACAAACCCGACTAGCCTCTCAGAGGCTGCTCTGTACTCTTGGTTGGTTGTTATGGGGTATTCTTCCTCTTTCTCCAAACACTCTTTCTCTGTGCCCTGTTCTAGCTGAGGTTTGTATTTACGTGGTTTGCTTTCTCCCACCATGTTATTTTAAACTACATATGTCTTCTACTTACGTGGATTTCTTATAGACTATATATAGCTGCATTTGCTTCCTTATTCAGTCTTATGGTTTCTCTATTTTTAAGAATTCTTTTATTATCTTTAGTATAAAGAAGTTGCCACTCACCCAAGCAGCTTATGAGGAGAGTGTGCTTGATCAGTGTCACCTGCTCAGAGTATTATAAAGGAACACTTTGCAAATGTTTACACCAACAAACTGGAGAATTTGGCAGACGTGGATACGTTCATTTCTAGAGAGCACCCGCGTTCCTAAACTGGGCCAAGAAGACACAAGCCAATTAAACAGAGCCATAACAAACAAGGACACTGACATGGCAACGAAAGACCTCCTATCCAAGAAAAGCCCAGGATTTGATGATTTACAGCCAAATTCTATCAGGCCTTGAAAGGAGAACGAACACCAATACTCCTCAAACTCTGTAATGAAATAGGAAGGGAAAGATCACCACCAAACTCATTCTATAAAGCCTGCATGACACTCATCCCCACACCAGATAGGGACCCTTCAAAGGAAAGAGAACTATAGACCTATCTCTTTGATGAATATTGTTGCAAAACCTCCCAATAAAATACTGGCTAGCTGAATTCTATAGCTGGCCCCAAGCATCATGCGTTATGAACAGACAGAATTCATCCCAGGGATGCAAAGCTGGTTCAATAGATGTAAACCAATAAATATGATACAATGTATCAAGAACCCCAGGATCATTTCAATAGACACAGCAGAAGCTTTTCACAAGATGTAATACCTCTTCGTGACAAACGCCTTGGAGAAGCTAGGAATCCATGGAACATTCCTCAGTATAATAAAGGCTGTCTACAATAAACCTGCAGCCAGCTTTATACTTAATAGTGAAAACCTAAAACTATTTCCTCTATAATCAATATGGCAAAGGAACTCCTAGCAAGAGAAGAAAGAAATAAAGCTATCCTCTTTTGCAGTTTCTCTATAAATTAGTGACTTTAGATTATTCACATTTAATGTAATTATGATTAGAATAATATGGTTACAATGAAATCTACCATCTGGATCTTTTCTATATTCTGTCCTTTGTTTCTTTTCCCTTCATTGCTGAATCTTTTATGTTAATTGAGCATGTTTTATTCATATCTTTTCTCTAGTGATTTATTTATACATCCATCATAATAGTCTATGATGATATACGCCATATGAAATGACATTTATGGATTTTCCCAACAACTTCAACTTTCTCTTAATGGAACACAGCTTCCATTTACACCTCGTGAGTGTGGGAGAAGACACTGCATCGATGTGATTGCTGGGAGCTCGGATGTTACTAGACACAGTCACAGCACCATATTCTTCATGCAAATCAATGTCAGACTATGAGCTCAAACTGAATTGGTTAGCCACTGCTTGAAGGACAAATTCTTTCTTTTTAAAAAATATCTTTATTGTGATGGTGATGAACAGGGTGATTATTGTTCCATAAGTAAGGTAATGAGGTCATCTCTTTTCAACATGGCTACCCTCTCCCTCACTCTCTCCCACTTACCCCTCCCCTGCCTCCTCCCAAGTTGTATAGTTCAGTTCCACAGTGTCAGGGGAGTATCATGGTTGCATTAGTTCATCCTTGTCTTACTGTTTCTGTGATTCCCTTTCCCTTCCACCGATCCGATCAACTTACTTACAAGGCAAAGGGTACAGAGAACCAAAACAGAAAAGAAAAATAGAAAGCACTACAAACAATATATAATAAGACCCTCCTGTTTCCAGTTCTTGGAGTCCATGTTGACATGCTTCATTATACATGGTCCTATGTGCTTAGCAATTGGACTATTGAGATCACCTGCTAAGAATATCACAGACGCTGGGCACTGGTGGCTCATGCCTGTAATCCCAGATACTCAGGGGGTTGAGATCTGAGGATCGTGGTTCAAAGCCCAGTCAGGAAAAACCGTGAGACTCTTATCTCCAATAAACCACCAGAAAATGGGAAGTGGTGCTGTGGCTCAAGTGGCAAAGTGCTTGCCTTGAGCTAAAGAGCTGAGGGACAGCGCCCAGGCCCAGAGTTCAGGCCCCACGATCAAAATAATAATAATAATAATAATACTATAGACACATTCTAGTTCTTACAAATGAGGGAAACCATGCAAGCTACTTTCCCTTGGGTCTGGCTTGCTTCACTTAATATCATTTTTTCAGGTCTTTCCGTTTCCTTATGCGTGGGCAATGTCATTCTTTCTGATGGAAGTGTAGAACTCCATTGTGTATATATACCACATCCTCTTGATCCATTCCTCTACCGCACGTTCATGGTGTTCACAGGTGTGACCGTGATGTGGGCGGGGCTCTGGAGTGGAGCCCTGTGTGTTCGCGAGTGTGACCGCTGGGGGGGGGGCTGTGCCCTCAGCAAATGGGGCATGAGCGCCCCTGGGACCTCACTTCCTGGGAGAGCTCTGATAGCGTCCCGGGTGACGACGCGCACCCTGGAGACGTGGCCACTCCCCACTTCCACCGGCAGCAGTGACGGGCTGTGAGCACAAGCTGTGGCTGGCAATCACATCACAGTCCTTCCTTCTAAGCCGGTATTCCTTCCAGACGCAGGCCGTGCATGTTTCAAAGGTCAGTGTGGCGGAGAAAATACGGTAGAATATTCTCTTGCTCTCTGTCTCTCATATCTCTCTTTCTCTCTCTTTCTCATCTCTCATCTCTCTCTCTGTGTTTCTCTGTTTTTTGGCAGTATTGGGGCTTGGTCTCAGGTTTGTTCTCCTTCCTCTTGCTTGTTTAAGGCTGATGCTGTACTCCACAAGCCATGCCTCCAGCCTGGCATTTTGTTGGTTAAGTAGCAATGGACCCTCTTAGATTTTTCTGCCACGTCTGGCTTCAAACCACCATGACTGCACACGTCTCCTGAGTAGCTAGGATTGCAGGCATGCACCAGGGGTGCATACGGAGATGTGTGGCAGAAGCCAGTGTTATTACTGCAGCTGTGATGCCAGCACCTCACATAGCTGTCTGCTTTCTAATGCTGCATGAGACTCTGTGTCGACGGCATTTGTAATACGAAGCCTGCCTTCTACACCTATTGCAGTTATAGACTATGGACCAAAGCCTTCTCATTGCAGAAATGGATACTTCCAGTAACCAGAACACACACACACACACACACACACACACACACACACATACGCACATATGCACACACACATGCATACACACACATGCACACACACACTTTCAGAGATGTCTTCTTTGGGTTTGCCTTGGATATCCTCCACTTAGAAAAACCATCTCAGTCTTACTGAATAGGCCCAAGTATTCAGAATACACTGGCACTGACTGGAATTCAGCATAAGCATCATAGGAGTTGATGGTAGCATTAGGTATTCAGCATTGGAGGGAATTTCAAGGCCGTACCAGCGGGTGTCAACCTTGGGATGAGTAGGTGGTTTCCCGTGGAACTTCATAGCTTGTTTGAAGCAACATAGGGACATGAGCAGAGCAGCGGCATGGAGCTCGTGGGGAGCCGGTGGCTGCCTTGGCGGCTATGGGTGTATGAGAAGTCACGTCTACTGAAGAACGGCTTGGCTGCATGTGCATTACCCTGCTCCGTGGGACGTGTGTCTCCACGCGGGTAACGCCATGGTCGCGCCTGGAATGGAGTGAGGAATTGGGGGGCAGGTTCTGCACAGGCCCGTCACCGTGGCCACTGTGGGGAGCAGGGGCGAGGAGGCCTTGGGTCCTGCCCAGAGGTGGACAGGCCTCTCCAGTGGTCTTGACCTGCTTTCTGAGCAGGTGCGGCTATTTCTGCGTTGTGCTCAGCCGCACTCTTTGTAAAGTGTTATCTAGTTCCTTTCCAGTTAGAGCATTTGGAGGACTCCGGTGGTGTGGGACCAGGAGGGAGCCGTGGAGCTGCAGCCTGGTGGCCGCGCTGTCCTCCACAGAGTGTGCGGCCGGAGTGACCCCGCGGTCAGTCGCTTTGTGGCAATAGACGAATTAAAGGATTTTATCCAATGCCAAATGTGGTAGCTATCAAAAACACATCTCATTAATCTTCCCTGTCATATTCCTGGCAGATTTTGAAAGATAAACCCAGCTATTATTTGAGAAGTTAATTAAAGGTTAATTCATACAGCAGCTCGTGTTCTGATCAAATGAGCAAAGAGAAAGAAGCCCGCATGCTGGGTGTGCGGGAGGAACAGGGCAGGCTGGGAACCGGGCTGGGGGAGTATGGGAGTCTTACAGGTGAGTCTTAGGCTTACCTGCGAGTGCGGCTTTATCCCAGGGCTGATTCTGCTCCATGACGGGTGTCTGCGGTCAGCCTGGAAAGTGAGAAGCCTCGCACAGTCTTCTGCGCGGGCAGCACGCGAGGCCCCGCGGGCACACGCAACTCTCAGGAGTGCAGCGGAAGACAAGCCACTCCAAATGACAGGAGCCAGTGAAGAGGCATCCAGACCAGTGCTGGCTGGCTGTGTATTCAGTGTCTGGGTACAGAGCAGGTGAGACGAAGCAATCTGTCATTTTATTTGTAGCACATCACGTTATACATGTATGTAATTCTAAAAATATGTATGTAATAATTCATGCAAGTGTTAGAAGATATCTCCCAATCTCTGGTCATTTTTATAAGAGTGGAGTTCCTTCACAAAGATGTCAACGTTGTCTGATGTTTCAGTGATGGAAAGTTCTGGAGCGTGCTGATCAGGGGTGGTCGTGGGGTAGGGTTGGTGTAGTGACTGTAAGGGTTAATCCGGAAGACCAGCTTTATTGTGAGGAGGAGATGAGCCAACTTCACCTTTGGCCGAGTCTGTGAAGAAGTTTCCAGAGATGACTAGATCGGGAAGGCTCTGGCCCAATGGACAGATGAACCAGGGGCAGAGAATAGATTGGATCTTTGAGTACTCATTGGGAGAGCAGTGGTCAGCGGGCACGGTAGGAGGGAGTAGACACTGGGGCTCTGTTCCCGTGGGCTGGGCCCGGCCCCGGCTCCTTCCTGCCACGCTCTGCTCTGCCTCCCGGCTGCCGTGGGTTGTGTGTCGCTGTTCCACCGTGATTCCCCCAGGCCTGGCAGACAATGGCCCTTCATTCCCGAGCTGTGCGGCTTATTGGCATTGCGCTCCAGCAGCCCAGGCTGAGGAAGACGTTGCTCATAACCCTTCGCACGTGGACATAAGCACCAGCTTTGCGGGTTTCCTTTCACAGTTTGAGAACTATCATGAACTGTCTTTGGGATGCATCACACGGACGGCAAACGCCACTGCTCTTGTGAGGCAGGGGGGAGGTGAGCTCAGTGCGGGTGCGAATATCACGTCCTGAGTGTTATGAGGTTTTCCACGTGGACGCAGTTAGTGTCTAGAGATTGGTGGGCACACGCTGGAGAGCAGTGTACAACCAATGCTCACAAGTAGGAACGAGTATTCGTGACACACTTCAGCTCGCTTCCTGATGATATTTAACCCCCCCACTCATCAAAGTTAAAAATGGATCCGCATTTCAACTAGCCTGTGTTTTAGTATTTTTGCCACCAGGATGGATTTGACCTCCAAGTGTCTGTGAATGGTAGCTTTGCGTAGATAACTCCTATGCGATCTGCGCGATCGTGGGAGTGTGTCACGTCTAAGCGGTCCCCACGAACGCTCATGCTTCCTCAGCAGTGCTGTGGGCACTTTCTGTACCTCTTCACAGTATCACACCTTTGCACTAGATCGTGCTGAAGCCTGCTCCTTTTTGTGGAGAGAAACTGCTGTTCATGACTTGTGTGAGATTTCAGAAACAGTTCCTGTTTTTTATTCGTCAATCCCAAAGAGCTGATGTCTGCCCTAAAACCTTTGATCTCTGGATTTTAAATGAATCCATGTGGTTTTGGTAATTTTGCTTTATTAATTACTCTTATCAAGGCCATTAATTTCACTCTCTGTGTGTACACTATTTCATCCTGGCCTTATTGCTGTTGCTATGATTTCAAGCACTTTTTATGGTAGAAACCTCAGTATTTAAAATACAGCTTCCATAGTATCTATCTGTTTCACTTCTCAGTGTATTTCCACAGAATCAAAGTTTACTACAGAGAAATCTGCAAGTGCATGTTTATTCCTGAGTTGTTCACAACAGCCAATTTACAGAATGAGCATAGGTGCACATCAGCATATGAATGAATAAAAAATACTGGTGTATTCACGATGCAGTTTTATCAGCTGGAAAGAAGAATTAAATTCTTTGGTTAAAGAATTAAAGGTTTAATTGGACGGGACTGGAGATTGCTATGGTAAATGAAACATGCATGCCAAACACATGTTTCCTCTCACCGAGTGAATTTAAGGCAAAATGGGTTATGAGAGTAAAAGGAAACATTACAAGTGAGGAAGTGGGAAAGGGGAGGAGAGAAAAAGAAAGCATCACAGACTGAACAAGAACTAAATACACAATAAGCACGTGTAGAAAAGCCTTAGTTAAACCCCTTCCCTTGTACAACTAATACATGCCAGTAAAATTAATAATAATAAAAACAAAATACATAGACAGGGGAAAAGGAACTGGCCTGCTCAAGCAATATTTCAGAAATGTAACAGTAGATGCATGGGTAAGGCTCCTTAACCTGCTGGTAGTTTTCATTCCTTTGCATGGTGCTTTTTAATTCTCTGCTGTAAGTTTTATAGATCAATAGTGCATAATTTTATATTGGGTCGATGGGTCTGCCTGATGCATCAGCCTCTGCTGGTTGTGGCCAAAGCAATAAAACAGCTTTCCACAGTGCAGGCCATCACAGGATCTCTCCTCCACCCTCTTCTGCATTTCCCCATCATGATCTCCTTTGATTTTCTAGGTGGGAGCAAAATTTCAGTCTCTGCTGGTGGAAACACACAGCATTCATTCTGCCCACATGTGCTTCGGGTAGGGGAAGGGAAGTGGGGGAGATATGCTAAGAAATAGCTGGTATACCAGTCAGAAAAAGTAGAGGATGACTTGTAGAAATTTAACAAACACTACAATACATCATATGTGCTTCTAGGGAACCCCATACATCCTATCAAGAGGCCGATAAAAGCAGACAGCCGAGTCTTACCTAAAGTAATCTCTTGTGCTTATCAGGCTCCCGAGAGAATGACCCATGCTTTAGCTATACTGAGTCCTGATCATTGCTCCTTTCATGTGTTTACCACAGTATAGCATGCATGCTCCTAATGTTGGAATGATTTTATATAAGAATCTGCCCTTCTGTCCTGTGTCATTTCTCGGTGCTGCCAGGGAGGCAGCGCTCAGGACAAAGGAGCTCTCTGGTCTCCTCCAGACGCAGTTCATGAGGAGCAGTAGACACCCCGGATCTCACAGGACACCCAGTAAGAACAGGGAGTTCTCTGGACAGCTGTGACTTTCTACATTCATTTGGAGGTAGAATTAGTTTTGAGTAATAATACTTCATTCACACGGATTCAAATAGCAATGATTTTTGGAATGATAGTGTAGAAATAATATTTAACAGTAATCTAGGTGATGTGGAGAAGAGTAGTTAATTATATAGTTAATTATGGGCTGCTTCAATGGTGGAAAAATACTGACAACTTCAATTACAGCATACCTAGTAATGTTATTTGGGAAATATGTCTATAGCATAGATGCTGTAATTCTTACATCTTTATGGGAAGACCAGCTTGAGTTTTGCATCTAGAGAAATTGGTTTCCTCCAGTTGGAATATATTATCATAGAATAATACATTTTCTTGAATTGTAATCGAGATAGTTTGCTGACCTCAAAAATCAAGCAAAGAAACAAGATTCAAATACAACTAGACATATGGAAAAGAGCTTGCATTGCACTTGGTAATGGGGGATGTGAGGTCATTTGATGTAGAAACGAAGCTATTTCCTCTAGCTAATTCTATGCTCAGTGGGCAGTAAACCGGCCTGGTCTCTGATGATCATCGGTGATATCTGGAACTCATTTGGAATCCTTTGCTTTATTTTTGAGTATATTGAATGAAACGCAGCCCAGGATGGACATGAACCTTGAGGTTTTGCAGTGAAAGAGTTGGGGCTGGGAGGCCCCGGGGTGGGTCTGGTCTCTTGGGCTGCGGATTCTGTGTGCGGAGGCTCCTGGGCCATGCCGCGGTGACAAAGGTCCCAGAACATGAGATTATTCCAGCATTCAAGCAAGTCTGGCTCAGGCACCTGGCTTCCACACCTCTCTGGTGGTTGTTCTTTAGCTGCGACTAGTGATTGGGGAGAACCGTATCCTATCCGGTAGGACTTGGGTTGCCTGTAGTAAGGTGGCTAGTGCTCTCCTTGCTTTCTGGCCCTCTGGCTGCTTATTTGTTTGTCAGGCATATTAGCCTTGAGAAACTGAGGCACAGACAGGACTAGACTGCTAATATAAGAAACTAAGGAGGCTGGGAGGATGACTCAGTGGTAGAGCGCTTGCCTTGCATGCATGAGGCCCTGGGTTCGATTCCTCAGCACCACATAAGCAAAAAGAAAAAAGCCGGAAGTGGTGCTGTGGCTCAAGTGGTAGAGCACTAGCCTTGAGTTGAAGAGCTGAGGGACAGCGCCCAGGCCCAGAGTTCAGGCCCCACGACTGGACACCCCCCCCCAAAAAAAACTAAGGGGGCAATATCAGTGAAGATGCGCGGTATTCATAAACTGATTTGCTGAATGGTAACTCCTTTATACGACTGCTTAAAGATAATAAGAATATAATTAAAACAAAAACATAATTGAATTTTTTAAAGAAATGGATGTTTAAAGTGCCCAGAGGAAATAAAAGGCTTTGTCCTCTTCCATGATGAAATTCTCCTACTTTCATTCTTATTTTCCCACTATCATTATGACATGGTTTTACAAGTCACCATTAATAAATACTTGGAAGCACAAAGTTTGGTTCTTCATAACATCTGAATTTAAAACAACAACAACAAACAAACAGAAAAGTGAGCTAGCGGAGAAAAAGAGGTGTGATTCTGTTTAGATGTAATGTTTCATTTAGCCAGATCTAGTTGTTCTGTTTATAAGGTATCCTCACCTGTCTCTGAGAGATTCGCTAAGATGAGTGCAGTGGAATTTATGTGGGGAAATGCTTTGATTGATAGTCACTTAGCTTTCAAGAAAAACCAGAGCAAAAGAGGGAAAGAGTGTGAACATAAAGAAAGCACATTGTGAGCAGGTGTGGAGTGTCAGGTGGAACTCATGAACACACACGACCTCCAGCATTGCACACGCAGAAAAACCACTGAAAAGCACATTGTGAGCAGGTGTGGAGTGTCAGGTGGAACTCATGAACACACACGACCTCCAGCATTGCACACGCAGAA